CCCAGGTGTCCCCCCACCTGAGAGCCCAGCCTGGGTCTTTCCCTCTTTGCTCTTGGGGGGCCTCACTGTGTTTGGAGGTGGCTGACCACCCCCGTGGTTCAGACCTGTCAGGATGTTATAACAGGAGGGGAACGTCTGAATAAATAAGACACTTTGTTTCTTCCAAAGGTTCCACGGCAGGTGCGCTTTGTGGTGACCAGCGTCAGCACCACAGCTGCCGTGAGAGTGGTCAGCTGCAACAGTGGCCACAGTGTCGCAAAGTGAAAGTTAGAGACCCTGCTCCACACAGCATTTCACTGAAACGTGGAAGACGGTGCTCCGGTCTGCTGAGGCCGCACGCGTGCTCTCGCCCCGAGTGGGACACGAAATGGAAGCCCATCCAGGCTGCAGCTTTGGGTGAAATCAAACAGAAAACGGCCCCTAGTTCAGCTGTGTTACAGACACTGTCACAGCTGCAGGTCGCCCGGCTGAGGAGAGAGTGGTCCGGGGGCACTCACCACGTCCCGCCGAGCGCCGGGCGGTGCTCGGGCCGCGGTCTCGGGTAGAGGTCACCTGCGACCACTGAGTTTCTGAGAAAGGAAACAGCCGGGACTGACGGCCACCATGAGGGAACTGGTGGGAACAAACGGCAGCTAATTCAGGTCAGGCGGCAGGATGCACACACAGAGGCAGATGGCACGAGGCACCGTTAAGGCTCTATTGTCAAACCAGATGGAAGATCCCAGTGACCTGGGCGAGGGTCTCGGCCAGGGTGGCTTTGCCCTTCACAGGACCTTTGGTGAGGTCTGCAGGCACGTTTGGCTGTGACAACTTGGGAGGAGGACACCAGCGCCACCTGGTGGACAGAAGCAGGGATACTGCGCACAAACATCCTCCCCAGGGACCAGCTTTCGCCCAGCTTTCTGGCCCTAAATGTCAAAGGTTTTGAGGTTGAGAAACCACAGGCCAGTGTGACGCAGGTGATTATGCAGGGCAGTCAGTTCAAGACGAGCTGTGGAGGTAAAAGCAGTGCTGTGTGACGCAGACTGGGTGTGGAGGAAAAGGAAGGGGAATATGAAAAAGTGTGCATCGCCCGGCTGGTGAGGCTCAGTGGGTGATCGTCGACCCGGCACCAAGAGGTCGCCAGTTCGATCCCCGGTCAGGGCACATGCCCGGATTGTGGGCCTGATCCCCAGTGGGGGGCATGCAGGAGGCGGCCAGTCGATGTTCTCTCTCATCGATGTCTCTCTCTCCCTCTCCCCACTTCTCTCTATAAAATCAATAAAGAAAAAATAATGTAAAAAAAAAAAAATGATGCGTTGACTCTCTCCCTTTAATAGCTGGATGGAAGGGGATGAGTGTTGAGGTGAGATTTGGAAAAGGGCAGGTGTGCCCCACAGAACCAAGACTTGGACGTGTTGAGTCAGAAGAGCAAATAGAACCATGCGTCTGGGGTTCAGAGACAAGTTCTGAGCAAAAGATAAAACTTGGGGTCCTTCGCTAAAAGGTGTTTAACATTTTAGAAACATACCACATCACCTAGAAACAAAAAACAAAACTGTAAGTAAGTAAGTAGCCAAGAAAGCAGGGGTTTGACCCTAACTCAGCGGCCAGCTCCTGGGAGATGCTGGAAGCCACCGGCCTCTGCTTTGATAGCTCATCATGTGTGACCCTGCGTGACGGATTAGACTCATCGCATTTTGAAAGCACAATTACAATATCTGGCTTCCTTACTTGAGTCGAGGATATTTTTCTTTTTCTCTAATTATCATCTGAAAACTAGGTAACTTTAAATGGGTTAGTACCTAAGTGACGTCACCGGCTGAGTGCTGCTGTATCGGCTAACAATGAACCACTGTGCATCCATTTAAGTTTAAGCTTGGAGAACGGGAAAAGACAGCCTGCGTTCAACCAGACATTTTTATGCTTAGGAGGGCACAATGAAAAGCGTGAACCGAGAGTGGTGAACATTGTCATTTCGGGCAAAAATAACTAGATGCACATGTATACGAAACACTGTCCTTGTAAAAAGCACAAAGCAAATTACCAGCAGCTGCTGATCACTCGAGAGGAACTCAGCACCATGAGTCTCTGCCCATGAGCAGGGGATGGGAGCATTTTAACAAGGAAAACACTTCAGCTTTAAGCTCTGCAGAATTTTCCAGATGATACAGAAAAGTAACTAGCGTGTGCCCTGTGTTCTGTAAGAGACGACCCAAGAAACCGCAGTAATCCTATTTTCCCTCACAACCACAAAGAGCTGTTTACTCATGGACAGGAGGCAGTGCAGATAAAAAGCAGTAAAATGTCCTTAAATGGTGCCGGACTATTGCTATCCAGTTAATGGGACCGACACTGTGCGCTCATTTCCACAGGAGAAAACATTCCGGTCTCTGACCTCCAAGGCACATTTAACCGAGAAACGCAGAGATTCTTTTAATCGAAAAGGTAATCACCACAGGAAAGAATACACGTGGAGCAACAGGGGCTTCGGAAAACCTTGCACTTCGTGTGGAGAATGCTTGGATGCGACGTGCTCGCGTGATCCTCCAGGGCCTTGCTGTGTCACTGCGGCTCCCCTGTCAGACGACGACGTCCGGTCTCGGGAGTTCATCCGTCAGTATGGAGTAGGTTGTGTTGCTGTAACAAATAGGTCAGAATCATAACGGATTAAAACTCAAAACGGTTTTGTCACTGACGGGTCACCAGTTTGTCTGAGGACTCCTCAGAGCAGCTCCTTTCTGAAGGGTGACTTGGGCCCGGGCCCCTCCCCCCTGGAAGGTGTGGCCTTCGGGTGTGCTAGGGAAGAAGAGTCCTGGAGGCCATGGAAAACCCCCCAGCTTTCCACCCAGAAAGGGTGCGGGGCATGTCCGCTCACACTTCGTCTGCTGGAAACAGTCGCACACTCGTCCCCAACTGGAGAGGGACAGGCCTGAAGGTGCCTGGGAAGAGAAGTGGGTGCAGGGAAGCACCGTCACCCTCTGCCGCCTGGAGAGGAAATGACGTGACCGAGGCTGCTAAACGAGACAGGTAGAACCAGGACGCACACACGTGTCCAAAGATGACCTAGGTCCCCACTTCCTGGCCTCAGGATCCAGCTGCACAGTGTTTACTATCCATTGACACTGGATGTCCGGGGGAGGGGGGGTTTGCTCAGCACAAATCTTTAGGTTTAAAAATAAACTTTCTGACAAGTTTTGTATATGTTCTCACATAAAGAAATAGTAACCACCCATAAACTACCCATTCTTGTAAAGTCTGGGTTTCCTAATGGTGACTCCCACATTCCTGATGGGGCTCCAGGGATGGGCACCGGGCCCCCAGGGGTGGGCGCCAGGCCCCCGGGGTGGGCGCCGGGGCCCCAGGGCTGGGTGCAGGGTCTCCCAGAAAGAAGGCATTCAAGTGCTCATTGAATGACCGGAGGACTAAATGGAGAGCCTGGCTTCTGGAAGCAGGTCACACCATGTTTAACTCTTTCCTGACCTAGAAGTGCTTCCCCACAAATAAGGTGAAATTCACTCTTCTCCAACTTGCATCAAATATTATCTTTCTTATTTCTTCTCATGTAACTAACACTAAGACAACTTTCTTTGAACCCAAGAACTCTTCCAATGTCTCAAGATAACCAACATATGCCCCTTAAATCTTCTTGGTTTCCTGAACCCTCAGTAAGGTGCGCCCTGAACCCAGATCAGCCCTTCTCTCTGGAGGTCTGCCGTGTCTGCTTCTCATCCTGGGCACCCTCCCTGAGGGACGACTGACCAGCCTCCAGCAGCAGGGCCGCCACCTCTCTGGGAGGGGGGAGGGTGCATTTCTCAGTATTGAGTCTTAAGTGAAAACTTCCTCTGGCTCCACATAGAGAGACTCTAGATACCGGTTAAATGAATGAATGAATGAATAACTGGATGAATCATTGCATCTTAGATTTAGTTTATAATTGTTTCTACTTCTGGGGTCATATATGTGTACTTTTTTTTTTGGATGGATTGACTCCATTTCGGTCACTTCTGCAAAATCGTAGCTAGAGAAACATCTCTGCACGTCAGTGCGGAGCCAGCCAACAGTTCTGTGGAACATTCCGCACAGGCTCCCAGGAAATTAAGCCAAAATGATCAAAGGCTGGTGATTTCCCCAGGGCAGTGTCCTTGTCCTGCTCCGGAGAAACACCCTGCAAACCTAGATCGCTAAAATAGCCCGTCCGCCAGTGTGGGGCCTGCCCGCGGACCGGATGAGGAGGAGGGAGCCTGCTCCTCTGTCTGCACGTGTCCAGGGCGCGGTGCGCGGGCGCTGGATGCCGGAATGGGGGCAGCACCGATGCCAGAGCGGTTCCTCCTGCTCCTGCTCGCCCTCCTCTCAGAGCAGAGCAGGGGCTCAGCCCTTCCTGGAAACACTGCGTCCGGGCGGCGGGCGGCGGCTCTCCATCCAGCCCTGGGGCGCGTCCTATCTGGAGGTCTCAGGACCCCCCAGAGGAGCTCAGGGACGTCACCCGGGAGCCCCGCCCCTCGCCGCTCCGCCGAGTTTCCCCGCACGCGGCGCGAAGTTGGGGGCGCGGGAGGCTGTGCGCGCGCGTGTGCGCGGGGGGCGGGTGTCACCGCGGGGCCTGAGCCGGCAGGACACGCAGGGCCAGGCGGGAGAAGCCAGAGCGCGGCTGCGGTCCCCGCTCACCTGCTGGCTGGCGCCCCGCAGCCGCCCAGCCCCCGCGCCCCTCTCCCCCGCCCTCCTCTGTTGCTCGCCCTCCACCCACCGCCACTTCGCGTGGACCGCAGGACGAACGGAACGTCCCCGCGGCAGCAGCAACTTTCCTCGGGGCTCGGCTCCTGGAGCGGGAGGCTCGGGCCGCAGTCGGTGTGCGGCGCGGTGCGGCGATGAGCTAGTGGCCGGAGCCCCCGCGTCCCCACGTGCGTGCTCTCGCTCCGACCGCGGGCAGTGCCGGGCGCAGACGCCAAGCGACCCCGGAGCATGAGGCGGGACCCGGCCCGGGCCAGCGGCGTGTCGTGCGCGTGAATTGAGCCGCTGGGAAGATGGAGCGCCGCGCGGTCCTCGGGCAGCCCGGGCTCGGGACGGGGAACGCCGGCCGCGCGCTCCTCTGCGTGCTGTGCTGCGTCCTCCCGCAGGCCGCCCCGCAAGTGCTCAGGATCGGTGAGTGAGCCGGGTGCTCCGCCGGCAGCGGGGGCGCGGAAGGGGCGGGTCAGCGCGCGCCGAGGGCTCCGGGAACGGGCAGCCGCGTCCCCGCGTCCCGGCGCGGTTGGCGGGCTTTGCCGCCTGGGCTCCAGCGCTCCGCTCTGGCCGCGGGATCGCGGGGCTGCTGCCTGGGCGCGGAGCTGCGCTCTCCCCACTGGGCATCTCGGAGGCATCGGCGCTCCACAAGCACAGCCCTGCTCCCTGGCCACCGGGCTCTGAGTCCTCCCCGGCATGCCCAGATGTCCAGCAGGATCAGGGGACCACGAGGGACCTGGGGGATCTCCCCGAGTCTGCTAGCCGCAGGCCTCCAAGTTTTCATCCTTGAGTTTGGTTCCCCTGCAGGGAGTCTCCGAAGTCTGGAAGGTTCCACGACAGGGCGCAGGCTGGGTGTGACCCCTGGCTGAGGGCCGCAGGACCAGAGGGGTGATAGGCAGCACTGGGAGCGAGCACCCAAGTTCCCCCATTTGCTCCCCAATCTGCCTGCCTGCACTGAGCACCATCCAGTCTGCAGTGGGTGACTTTCTGGAAGAATCTGGACTTCCATCCCAGAAAGATGGAAAAGAGACCAGAAGGCTCAAGGAAGGGGTCTGGGTCCCTGGGGAGGCAGAGACAGGGGCCAGGGAGGTGCTGGTGTGAGCATCAGGACAGAACACAAGGCAGGGGCGGTCTGCAGAGGCAGTGCGCTGTTGGTTTCTGGATGCTGTTGGGGTACAAAGCTCTTTGCCTTCGATCATGTATGTTCTCACCTCCAAACCCAGTGTCTCTTCCTTTCCCTCAGCCTTGTCCTCCCCATTCTCCAACCTGCTGTGCTCCTGGGACAGTCGGAGAGCCACAGGTGACGCGGCACCAGGGGTCTCCCAGCTTCTCCAGGCTCCCACCTTAGGCGGCCCCTCACCCACACCCTCCCGGGACCTGGTGGGAGGTGCAGGAACCTGGCAGGGAACCCTCTGCTCTCAGCCCCGAGCGGCTGGAGTTTCTCAGCACCTTGACTGGGTCTGACCTGCAGTGAGCAAACCCCTGCAAACATTCAGAACCTGCTTCTTTAAAATGCGGTTTCTCCGGGCACGCGGGACGTGATTGTCAAGGAAAGAAAGGGTCCCGGACACTAACTTCCTAAAGACACGTTTCTCTAGACCGTGCTCAAGGACAGGGTGCTTTCCTACTGGTGACTCAGGCTGCGTGGTAAAAGGGCCCCAAAGTACTCCTTTTACCAAAGGAACGGGAGAAAGGAACCCCTCACAGCTAAACCCCCTCATAGCCTTCCCCATCCATGTGCTCTCGCCTGCACGTCCTGGTTCGGTTCGGTTCGGTTTTGTGGTTTTTTGTTTTTGTGTGTGTTTGGATTTAATCAACCTTACAGACTCCAGTAACAAAACCCCAGAGAACGATACAAAGTAAATGATGAGCACATTGCGCTTCCCAGTGCTCAGGAACTTAGCTGGTGTTTTGCTGATACCGTCCACATTGTAAGGCAGATGAATCTGGACACAGGTTGTGTTTTCCCCCCCTGCGTCCCCCAGAGCTTAAGGAATTCCAGGAAATGTTGGAAGTAACGTGTCCGAGCTCCAAGCAGCAACACTCATCTGTGTAGAAACAGTTTCCAAAGCGGAAACAACCCAACACCATTCATTGACCTGACAGTGTGCTACGAGAGAATGAGATCTTCTTTCTGTATGAGAGCCAGGGGCACAGAGCAAAACCGCACGGCCTGCCGTCTGTCTGTCACCTGTGTGCAGTGCAAAGGTCACTCCTGGCTCTGAGTGGCCTGGGGTTGCCGTGGGCACCACCCGCCCTGCAGGCACCTGGGAGCATGCTTACACTTCAGCACCATGGAAACCAGACCTGCCTCTACAGTTTCTTTCATCAGTTAAATCCAACACCAAACAAAATATTAAATGATTGGGGACCCGTGTATGTGTGTGTGTGTAAGGAAGGAGAATTAGTGCACCTTTATCTCTTTCCAACAAACTACCAACCACTCAACCAGCCAGCCAGCCAGCAGGAAGGGAGTCTTGATGATTAATTTGGACATTTTGGAGAACGTCGGGGAGGTACACCCAGACTGCCAGGCACTCACTCTGCGCCACAGTGGAGAGGAGGCACCTGAACACCTGAGTGGATTAATTACTTGTCTGCTTTTCTTGCCAGAGTGTCTGCTCACACTCCGGCTGTGGAGGAAAGTGAGTGAGAGATGTCACACTTAGGATCAAGTCCATGCGTCCTAACATCGGGGGGCACTGAGCGTGGGTGTCCACGCGGTCCTCACAGACGCTGCCGTCTGTGGAAAGGTCATCGCCTGCAGTTGGAGACATGAGGAGAGTGTCTAGGTTACAGGTGCACTGGCATTAATTTTGCGCTCCAGAGGGTCCCAGCAGCCTGCACGGGAGAGAGATGCGGCCCCTCCTGGGACTGTCCACAGGACGCCGAGGTCATTCCTCTCCCCGAGTACCCCAGTGTGCATGAACACGCAGATAATGTCACATACGCACGCCTGAGTTTTACGGTCACAGACACCCTTCCCACAGAGCCCCACGACCAGCACCCGCAGTCAGAGCAGGGTTAGGGGACCTGAGCAGAGGTGGCCACCACCATCGCTTGGGGGGAGAAAAGCAATGCCGTGTGCAGAGGCAGTGTCTGGAGCAGAAGCATCACGTTTCTAATGACAACGGAAAGCGGTAGCTACATGGGAACCCACGCACCACCCCAACACACACCGCCCCGGGGGCGCGGAAGGCAGCCGGGGAGGGAGGCTCCAGGCGCCCGTCCACTTGGTCAGAGAGCAGAGACGTGTCTAGTGGACCAGGCCTGTGTTCTGCGTCTGAGAAACTGAATGAAAACAACTGCACCCCAGCAGCGTCCTGGGTAGGAGTTCACGTAAGGACACACGGAGCTGCTTTGCGCAGTGTGTGAGGAAACTGCCCACGTCGCACCGCGGCCCCTTGAGCAGCGTGGGTTTAAACTGCCAGTGCGTGGATTCGGTCTGCGGAAGCCATCTCGGACGCGGGGCTGGCCGTCCGCGCTGATCTGCACCGCCTCGCGTGAAGGGCTTGGGCGTTCACGGGTGTGGGTGTCTCTGGGGGTCCAGGAAGCAATCCTTCACGGATACTGAGGGTCCGCTGGGTCTTCGGGAAATACAACGTTGTGTGCGGATGTCCAAGGGCACAGTGGTCATTGTCCGTAGACCCGCGTTGTCCACAATCGCCTGCAATTGTTTTGTTTTCACTTTCTTAAAATTACATTTTTCTTTCTGAGCGGCGACGTGATGGTTGATGCGGTATTTTTCCATAAGACGTTTAATATTTTTGAGCCCAAATTTCTTCTTCTGGGAACTAGCAGTGGTCACATCTGCTTTTACCAGTCACAGGACAGGGTCACATTAACTAATTTTTGTATTTGCACACAAACCACTAACTAAACATAAAACATTATGATTATGGAAATAGCATATAAGGAGAAATATTATGGAAATTTACCTGAGTACTGTGGAAAGTTAAATGATGATATAATTACCCAAATGCTTCTATTTCCTTACGAGAGGCCCAAATGTCTTTTACTTCAATTATCAAGCCGGCTGTAGCCTCGTTTTTGAATATTTAACCATAAGGACCCTCCAAGTTCCAAGTAATGTTTACTCCATACTTGTTTGTGTTTTCCCTTGAACGTTCAAAAACGCACAACCTCAGTGTTTAACTGAGTGCTTTCATCATTGTAATGTGTGTTTTTCACTCCACGAATATTTGTCAAGTGCTGGCTCGCCGGCCACGGGCCAGACACGCTTCTACTTGAAGAACATACACAGCGTGAGAACGACCGACACACTGCCCTTACAGCTGTGTCCTGGTGACGCACAACACCTGCTACCACCGAAACTTTTCACCGGGCGTTTCAGGCAGGCGCTTGTCATTTTCTGTTCCAAATATTGTTCGCGGAGGGTTTCTGTTCATCTCCTGCGGTTGGTTTCTTACATCACCGCACAGTCAGCAGAGAAGAGGTTCTGGCCCCCACGTGGGCAGCAGGCAGACGGGGCACCATCCCGCCCAGCCCAGGGAGGCGCCACCGCCGCGTGGAAAGGTCTGTGCGACCTGAGGAAGTGTCCCAGAGCCGCTGGCCGTTGGTCCACTGGCCTCCGCGATCTGGGAGAGACTCGGACAGCTTGGTGAAGGGAGGCCGTGCCTGGCCGTCGTGAAATGTTTCTGCAAACGAGCAGATTTCTCCCGTCGTTGTGTCTGTGTGATCTGCCCTTTTCCGTGGCAACTGCTTTCCGGCTCAGTGTTTACTGGGTGTAGACCTGAGCGGCAGCTGCCGTCCGGGCTGGTCTGCGATCTCCCTTCACACGGCCAAGTCCGAGGGCTGAGTTAGCAGACGGGCTGGGCCCTGGCGCTGGCTGCTCTCACCTCATGTCTGTGTCCTGGCGTGAGGCCAAGACCGTCACGCGCGGCGCGTGCGGGTGCGGGTGGAGCTGTGCACACAGCGGAAGTCGAATGGCAGAGACCTGGCTGCTGCTGCTCTTCGCGACGCAGGGATCACTACGGGCACTGAGGTCAGTGCCGCTCGCGTCTGAGCCTCCGTGAGGCAGTTAGCGGAGGAGGGGCCGAGGCTGTCGCTGGACTCTCAGAATCTGCCTTTCGGAAGGGCTTGGGGCAGGCGGGCCACCCGAGGGAAGTCCTCCTGCTGACCCTGCTTGTCATCAGGCTGTGCGTGACCCAGGCTCTGTTTGCCGGGAGCCTCGTGGACGTGGTGGTGGCGGCGGTGAATTCCCAAGCCTCTCAGTCCTCTTCCGTCGTGTCCCTGATGATTACCTGTGTCAGACAGGAAACATTCTCGGCGGCTGAATGTTTTCCAAAGTTATTTTGACCAGAAGAGAGCGTGATGCTGGTAGACGGAAATCAAATGTCTGCCTTGTTCTAATGGACTTTCTTTGAGAAATTGCTAATTGTGTGCTTGTGCGTGTGTGTGCA